AAAGGAAAAGGAAAAGGAAAAGGAAAAGGAAAAGGAAAAGGAATCAAATAAACTCTTTTAAAGTTAAAATGGGGGCATACATTTAAAACACACTTTGTTTCCCAGCAAGCAGTATGAAAGAAACAAAATTTTAGTTGCAACTTAATTGGCCACAACCAACCATGTCAATACATCAGTGACCACAAGAGAAGGACATTTTACTTTTAATTATGTGGTCATCATAAATGGCTTTGATCTTCATTAAATCTCTAGAAGTTACACTTGGCAAGTCTGCATAAAAAAGCACTCCACAAATCAGCATCCTTATTCTTCACTACTCCATTACTTCTTATTCTTGATGTAGTTGAACTACTTACAGCTTTGTAAGATTGACTAGACACAGGCTAAGGGTTTCCACAAATGCAAATCCCCAGAGATGAAGAGATTGTTAAATACTACACACGTGAAAAAGCACAGGAAGGTGGCCTGGAAAAACACCATACTTTGAACCAGTGTAATGCATGCAAGTGTTTGTGAACAGTTTAAGCACTAGATCACCTTTACATTTAAGCATAACTCTGTTGCAAAGCTTAAGGTAAAAGGAAACCATGAAAATAGTGAAAGCAGTCTTGTCATTATTTCTTGCAAGTTGAACTCTTCCTAGGTAGGATGTCTGGACATTGCACTCATCACTTCTGGATGCCATACAGAAGTTTCAGAGCTGTGATTAGGCACTGCAGCTCTGAAAAGCTTTGAGCTTTGCCAGGAATCAGGCAGGGATTGACTTCAGGGTAGGGGTATGAGAGAAATTCCCATGTGCAGAACTCCTGACTTTCAATTTACAGTCAGAATGCAATCCATCATCCTCTTCTAGACTTTTATCTTCAGTAGGTGAAATGTCCCCAAGAAGTGCCCCTTCCCATTGAGTACAGAGGAAATATAGAGTGGCTTTGGTACATAGAACATATATAGCATTGCTAAAGGGACACCTATCAACATATATTCACAGCATCATGGAATCTCCAAACTTAGAAAGGACCCACGGGGATCACAGAATCACAGAACTGCAGGGGTTGGAAGGGACCTCAAGATATCATCGATTCCAATCCCCTGCTAAAACAAGTACCTGACAATAGGTCATACAAGTAGGTGTCCAGCTGGATCTTGAATAGCTCCATAGAATACTCCACAATGTCCCTGGGCAGCCTGTTCCAGTACTGCATCATCCTTATTATAAAGAATCAGATCCCCTCTCAATCTTCTTTTCCCCAGACTGAACAGACCCAGGTTACTCAGCTTTTCCTTATACAGGAGATGCTCCAGGCTCTTTACCATCTTTGTGGCCCTTCACTGGACTCCTTCTAGGAGATTCCTGTCTTTTTTTGAACTTAGTAGCCCAGAACTGGACACAGTATTGTAAATGTGTATCACTGAATCCAAATCCTGGCTCCACACAGGGACCACCCAGCATTCAAATCCTATGCCTGAGCCGCTGTCCAAACACTTCTTGAACTCTGTCAGCTTGAGGCCATGTCCACAGCCCTGGGGAGCCCAATCCATGCCCATCACCCTCTGGTGAAGAGCCTTTTCCTGATATCCAGCTTAAACCTCAGGTCCAGCTCATTATTCAGAGGCACTGCCCACTGTCTGCCAGGCTGGGAGCTGCATTTGTTTTTAGCGATTTTTTTAGGCAGAGAATCTAGAAGAAACACGACTTTTTCAGGAACAGTGGGAGGATAAGTATATGTTTAAAATAGGAACAAATGAGGAAATGAGTCTCGTATGACATGCAAACTGTGAAGTCATTCATTCAAGAATGCTAAAAAAAAAGTCACTTCCCTTCCTATCATTGAAAAGTCTCAAAAGTACTTTGAAATCCCAAATTCAGCTATAACAAAGACAAAATCATGGAGTTAGCTCACTGACTCGAATGGATTTATCAAAACTTATTTAACTCTTTTACATTACAGGAATTAATCTAAAAACTTCAAAAAAGAACAGAACAGATAATTTCTATAAGATTTATGTATACTTTCACAGACTTCTTACATGAGATATAATAACTATTGTCTTTTATAGTTTTTAAAGGGCAAGCAAAGTACAGAACAAACTAACAAAGTGTAGAGAAATGTAAAAATACTGTGTACAGCTGCATTGCATCATCCCCGAATATTGTCTGAGGGTGACAGACTGGAGCCATAAATAATATGTTTCAAAATCTTCTGTGGCAAATGACTTCATTAAGTTTCTAGCCAAATGAAGAAAATATTACAGCTGAAAGGCAATATAGTGGAGATGGAAATTGTCGCCAAATAGACAGTAAGCTGAAAGCCAAATTAAATCATTTCTCCTCTGAAATAGATAGATAGAGAGATAACAAGAAATACTTAACATATGAAACTAAAACTTCACCAGTGCTTACCTACTCCAAAGAAGAGAAAGAACACCTGATGCAGGCAGGCTTTGTGGTCTCTCTGCATGAGCCTACACAGGATCTAATCTTGTACCTGTTGCCCTTTTGGCTGTAATTCATCCCAGTGCAAACCATCTGACTGCTCTTCTATAAATCAGCAACTGTGGCGAATTCCCTTGAAAGACAGTGAGAACGCAGGCATTTCTTGGGTATATTTCATCTTGACCAAATTGCATTCAGGTAGCAAATGTCGGGATAGAAGCAGGCAGCACTCTGGGACAAATGTCATATTAGCACATGAGCAAAGCACCTAAAAATGTTTAATTATGTCTACGCTCTTCTCAGAAATTATAAATCTCACGTAGGCCTATGGAGGTGGCAGTTAGGTAAAGGCCGGAAAGACCTGCTCCAGGGGGCTAAAGATTAGCAGCATCTCTAATAACAAACTACAGCTCAAATACTGAGATATTGAGAAGTGGAAACTGCTTCACAGCAATCTGGATCAACACTTTTTGAAAAAGTAATCCTCTGTACTGAAGTCTGATGGTTGGACTAGATGATCTTACTGGTCTTCTCCATCCTTAATAATTTCACGTTTCTAATCACATTGCTTGGAAAAAAGAGTGGGAACCCAGTGCGTACAAACTGGGCAAACAGTTTATTCTGTTGAGTGTAAAACAAGGTGCCTTTATTCAGAAATCCGAGTAGCAATAATCAGATAGGATCCAAAGGAATGGCATGGTCCTTCATAAGGGGAAAGTCAGGTAGATGCCAGGGAAAGGTTCTTCACCGCCAGGCAGTGGGCATGGAACAGGCTGCCCAGGGCAGTGGGCAGGGCCCCAAGTTTCTGGAGTTCAAGGAGCATTTGAACAGTGCTCTCAGAAATAGGACTTGAATGCTGGGTGCTCCTGTGTAGAACCAGGAGGTGGACTTGATAATCTTTGTGAATTCCCTCCAATGTGGCATATTATATGATTCTAGGATTCTGTGAACTCAAATACAAACATGCTTACACTTATGAAAGTGTGATATAATCAGACACTCAGAAGATGATCAACACGACTTTAACAAGGATTTTTAGACAAAGTTAAGTATTTAAAGCAATTCCAATAGTAGTACCAGGAAAAACTAGCTCAAATAATTCATAAAAGACCCATAGACAATGGGCTGGTGCCATCCAGCACAAAGGGAAAGGACCACAGGGCTCTGCTTCATTGCTGCCAGAAGAAGGGTCATACACTGTGGGAAGTCTAAGCAGGATGATGCTGTGAAAGTCTCCTGTGCTGGAGACTAGGAGGTCTGCACAATGTCGTTTGCAACCACTACAAGGCCTCTTGGCATAGTCATGTAAATAAGAACCAGATCCTTTGATTTCAAAATTGGCATTTTTCAAACATAACAAAGACCCTCTGTGGGAATGACTAAGTCCATGATAACTGTGCTGTGGTAGACACAAGCTATTTTGAGTTACTGACTGCATAAAACCATAGGGATATCTCTATATTTTTAAATAGATGTTACCTTCCAAGTAGCATAATATTTCAGGAGAATTTGTTTTAATATTCCATGTGAAAAATAAATTCACTCTCAGAGTGAGATTGAGGTATGAAGAGTACTGAGCAAGAGAGTGAAAAATAAGTAAGACTCATGCGATTTAACTGTGAGATGAGAGCTACAACTCTGTAATAAATCTACCTAATAAACCAAAAGATAACGTCCCATATACTTTTACCACCCAGAGATACAGCTTTATTGGTGTACTAAAGCCTTTTTCCATGTCACAGACCTCAGTGTTCATGATTCAAGCTTTGTTACAAGGCTCAAAATATGCGTGCATCACACTGAACACCATGATGGCAGTTGGAAACCACTCAGCTCAGGGAGATGTTCCTCTCTGAACAAGAATCTTTACAGTATTCCAGGAAGGATGCAAAGCTTATCCTTCATATTTCTTCCTCCTTTTAAGCAGATCAGAAATTACTGTATTTGAAAGCCTGAATGTACTTAATATTTCACCCCTTAAAAACTAGCTGAATCAACTTTGATTTGATTGAGGAGATACTGGGGAAAATGACAACAGACTTTCTCGTATTTTGGAGAATTAATTGTGTCTTTCTGCTTTCTGCACTGGATGACTGTTTCATACTCTATTAATGGGTTATTGGGGGCATTCATCTGCTGCTGTCCCTTCTGACAGCACCACATCCACTTTCCATCCTCCCAAAGTCAGAGCAGACAGGAAGGTGAGTCAGTGAGCGCCATTAACCAGCAGCTGGCTCACTCACTGTAATTACCACAGCAAAAATGTAGGAGCATTTTATAGCCCTGAAATGCTCTACAAATACACCAGTACTAAATTGGGGACAGTTGCTTCCACTTGGCTTTTGTTACCATGGGTAAACATAACTTAGCCTACCGTATTTCAGGAGAAAGAAAACACACTGCTCAAATAAAATGATACAGTAGAAATCTATCCTGAACAACAGGGAAATCAGATTCTCTTATTCCTCACATTCCTTTATGAGGAAAAAAAGAAAAAAAGGAAAATAAAATTAGGGCAGCATGGCTTGAGGCACATGAAAAGGAGTGTTAAATTTAGAGCAAAGTAGACCAGCAGTTCTCAACCGGTGGTTCATGTAGTCAAACAGTGCTACTGACACTATTTGGATTGAGCTAAAAATCCTGTGATGGACAGTTCTTAACAGTGACTTCCAGAGGAAGCATCTTCCTGATCCGAAATAGGAAGTGGCTGCCTTTCATCCTGGAACATGAAGTTTTATAACCTCCTGCTTGTTAATGTCTATTTGGGGTAGCAGCAGGTTTTCTTCTATTATTTGACTCCTCCTAAAACTTTTGCCTGAGTAATGAGTTCTGAAAGTCATTGCACTTTTCAGGGAGATATTTAATCAGTTTTAGGTGTACTGTCGTATTAACCTCACTGGGAACTCCCCTAAGCTCATGGCTTCAGAGAACTTAGGGAAAATTTTGCATATATCCACTGTTTCATTCCTTGTCTGTTTCTTCACAACACCTAACAACCTGACCTTTTTGTCTCTGCCACATACAGTGTACTTTTGTTGCTTTCTCCAAATCTTCTTTCTGCTGTATTCTTATTTCAGACAGGATCAGAGCTCAACGGAGTAATTCTATTTATATCACCTTCCAACAGGGTTCTCTAAAATACTGCTGGACATGCTCTTTCCATCATCTGACATAAGACTCTTTGGCTGACTATCTATAGGCCTCAAAAACGTGCCTGGAAAAGTGAAAAAGGTGTAAGCAAGACTTTATTATAGGTTCTTTGATTAACAGCCCACAAGTCTTGTCTTGCAGGTATTTGGGGGCTACTCTTGTGGTATGTGTAAACCTGTCCCAAGGAAGCACTGATTAATTCTGCAACCACATGGTATAACAGCACTGTCCTTTAGCATTCCAGATGTAGCTCCACATCGTTTTGACACACAACGTGCATTAAAATCCCCTGCAGCTTTAAAGATCTGATAATGGAATAAAGGTAAACTGCTCAGCTATTGCACATTAAAATTCTCTAGCAGAAATATGGAAATTCTAAAGGAAATATGTTTAATGAGGCTAAAGGCACTGCGAGCAAGACCAAAAATCCCAAGCAAACTGTGATTTGCAGGAGGTTGTGAGGCTAGACAAGTCTGATTACTACTCATTAAAATCCTTGAAGAAATAAGATGTCATCACCCAAAATACATACATGCAATCAACAATTAGAACAGAATGTCTGATAGGCAAAATAATCTTATCCTGTGTGCTGAGACAGATCTGTCTAGACTGCTGTCCTTATCTTGCAGCCAAACTGTTGTCCCTGTGGCAGCCAGCTGCACCTTTCAGCAAACTCTCTTTCCAGACACATGAAAATATCCAGGGGAGGAGCTCTGGAAAAGCCCATGTTCTGTTAGGCAAAAGCTGTTGGAACTGTGTCACCAGATAAAGACCGTTTTTTTCGAGCACCTTGGGCTTGAGTGATTAATGTACGTGCCATTGTGCCAGCAGCAAAAAAGAAATTAAAGAAAATAACCTGAAGTTGAAAAGTGAAGCAAGTAGAAGCCCCAGAGGAGCCGAGTCCCTGCAGATACATAGAAAGCAATAAGAAGAGATTTATATATCGCATCCTTCTGTACCTTCAGTCAGCAAGTGCAGGCAGAAAGAAAGATGTTGTGAGACCTTTCTCTCTGTAGCTAGTGGACTCAGGTGGACTTGGTCTCTCCCCATTTTCATTTAATGTCTGAAAATAAAAAAAATCATGAAACAGGAGGAAAAAAAAAACATGAGGAAAAAAAAAACATGAGGAGAGGTGCACTGCATAGAAAGTAAAACATAGGAACAGTGTCTAAACCAAAGGTGCAAAAAAAGATAGCAGAGGGGAAGACGCTGTGAATGATCTAAGACCAAAGAGCCAAGGCTGCCATATCCCAGAGGAAAACAAGAGCAAGACTCAGCAGTGTCTTTGATGAGAGGCCACACTTTGACCTGAATCTGAAATGGAAAAAAGAGTATCTTGTATCATCTACCAGGAAACTCAAAATGATCAATTCACCAGGCATAGCAAATTTTGCATGAAACAAATTGCTCAATCCAGAATGATGTTTGTGCAGTAATGCTTTAATATTGAAAATGCAAAACACCGCATGAAGAGGTCGGAAGCAAACTATGCTTTTTTCATTGTAAGTCTGATGTTGATGCTCTAGCCAAAGTGTTACTGGTACAAAGAACACAGACTCACACTGAGGCAGATCTTAAAACTTAAACCGTGAGTATAAGATGAAAAGCAGAGGTGGAGAGGGTTATGTAACAGGAATTGCAATGATGAAGTTCCTTATTTTCTTAAGTTGGCAACATGTCCATATTTTAAAGAATGCTCAGAACATTGAAGTACTTTCCACAGTGAGAAAACACTTTATAAAGAAAGCATGTGAAAGGTAATAATCATTTCTCATGAGTTTGATGCCTGTTTCTCAAAAGTTTCCAATCATAGCTTCACCAAAAGAGACTCCTGCTACATCCCAGATTTCCTCTTTTCAAAAATTAGAACAGTCTACATGCATACACAAGTACTTTTTGTATATTCCATGGTGAGATAGTAGTGGATCTTCTCACCACAACACTGAGCTGAGGACTGTGGGCCAGGCTGACTACATTGATTTCATCTCCAGACCCTTCTCATTTGAAAGGGACTTTGGAGTAGTGTTCATCCACTCTGGGGCAAACATCAAAACATAATGCAGAAGGAGTATTATTCTTTCTTTTCATGTTGCAAGCAAAATTTCAAGCTGTGTGATCCCCCTTTCCAAAGATAGGTCCTTCAAAAACAAAATAAAATACACATGACTTACCATTTGGAAGGCTGGTCAGCATACAAGGTACCAGTGTGAGCTATCATCACTGAACACACTCATCGCTTGGATTCAAAGAGCTCAAGTTGAAAAATCTCAAATAGAAGTTCAGACTATTTATTTTTCTTCCTTTTTTTTTTCTTATCTTGTTATTGCTTTATAGGGAGCATTTGTCAGTTGTATTTTTGTTTGTAAGAACATGAGAAAATAAACAGAAACTACTCACTTCTACAGTCAATAGAATCTCTCAGGCTGAAAAGAGGTATCCACAGTAGCATTCAGAAGGATTTACTATTGTCTCTACTTGAAACGCCTGGAAAGATTACAGGTTACTTTAGAGAAAAGTAAAGAAGAATTAAATAGTTTCCAGTGTTAAAATAGAATCAGCTAGAACTACAGAGTTGCTTCAAAGAGAACAAAAAGTTTTCACTTCACTGACCCATTTTTCTTGGCAAGAACCTAAGACTTTAACAGGTACTTGTGTTTTCTACTCATGTCTCATATATATTAATGTTCATCACCACCTATATCAACATAAAGAACAGGACAAAACACTGACACTGACTAGGGCACTGGTTTCAAGTGGATAGTTTTCCTCACAGACTAACAAAAAATGATTTAATTTATTGCCTATCCTTTGTTAAAAATATCGTGCACAGACAAAACATAAAAGCAGATGTAGATGAACACAGACATGGTGGGTCAGATCAAAGCTTGGCATTCTGTCTCCAGCAACGCCCCACTGCAATGCATTGGGCAACTGCACAGTGGTACCTCTCCCCAGTGTCTTCCCAGCCACTGGCAATTTGTGGCTCTGAGACTCCCAAAGCCAGAGGTGGTGTCTTTGTTTTTAATAGTCCTTCATGGCATAGACATGCATCCTGCCATGTTTCTGTAACAACACAATTGCATAAACCAAGTGACCAGCTAAGCAGTTTAGCTTGCCCAAGAGCTGTGTGTACATTAGCCAGTACCATTCTTACCAAATGAGCAGAGACCACACAAAAGCAGAATATGTATTCTTCAAAGGCTAAAACAAATTTGCTTATAACACAGATGATTAAAAAGGAGGAAACTACAATTCCAACAACAATAAGGTCAGCTTCTACTGCTTGTAGCACTGAGCTGCCTTAGCTATTTCCTGCCACAGGAACCAATTGCCAGTTGCTTGACACTGTTAACATTTCTGAGACACCTCATCAACCATGACTTGAGCTTTTTCCTGCACATAACTTCACAAAACAAGACTGTTCTTTGTGCTCATCCTGGTTCGTAAATTTTCAATGGTTCCATTATTCTGAAGCTAGTGAAGTACATTTGATTTCCACCGTCGTAGAGTTTGTAGGTGCTAAACACACAGATGATGCTTTCGCACCGTCTGGATACCTCATTTGGAAGAAAAAGTCTTGAAAAAGTCTTGAAAAAAAAAAAAAAGAGAGGAACCAGCCTTCTCCAAGCCACCATGAAGCAGTTAAACTCTTCCAGAAAACCACAGAGAATGTTGGCAACATGCTATATATTCAGTACTCTTGGAAAAAGAAAAACAAAAAAGAAAAAGAAAATAGGAAAATCTGAATGAAGAGACTAATCAGTGTGCCGTGAGCATGCTGAACTCAGGCTGTTATCTTGCCAGACAAGGACTTGCACTGTGAGGCCTTTTACTGAACAAGTTTAAAATGCACCCTTATGTGAAGAAGTTGATGAAAACTTTCTTCAGCTTCTTTGTCTGCAAGCACAACATGAGCCTGGTACTTCAAAAGGGCTGGAAAAAAGGAGTCATAGCAAGAATCCCAAGCCCTGCAATTCAGAACAAGATAATAGAGATCTTGTGTGTCTCAAAACTCCTCAAGTTAGAGGCAGAGCTGCTTAAATTGGAAAGGTAACCTCCTTGCCACTGAACTAGGTCAAGAAGTCCTAAACACAGTCAATCCATCCTAAATGTTGCCAGGTACCAGAAGAAAACCAATTTTCCAGACAATTCATGCTGAACTCCTGGTGGTCCATCTGATGAAATGGAAACTACTGTTTATCCTGACAGAAAATCTACTGGAAGAAAAATAAGCTCAGGTATGAAATTCTAAATATTCAAGAAAGAAAAAATGCCTATATAAATATGGACTAGTGTGTCTGGCATTTTAAATGTAGCATATGAATGGTGTAAGTCTTCCTGCTTCCAACCAATAGATCTTATGATGTCTAACTTTTAATCATGACCTGAAAAGAAAGGCAATAAAAGTATTCCAATCTCATTCCAAGCAGAAGCACAAATTCAAAACGTGCTTCTGGTGAACGTTTCCATTACAGCCAGGACTGACTTCAGCTTTATCTATTACCAGCCAACTGTTATTTTACTAAGGGATCACTAAAGACAGTTCATAATTATCCCAGTGTAGGAAGCAAAAAAAAAAAAAAAAAAAAAAAATCAGTAGTTTTTAAAACTTATGAAGCCAATAAATACTGCTTTGTTGGTGTTGACAACCATTGCTTTAGGTATGGATTCAAGGCTTTCTGTAATACAAAATGATATCTTCAATTAATGATGGAAAAAAATCATTGTTCAACTAGCAGCTGATTTCAATATGTTTATCCGGAAACAATTAAGATTTACATGGTACAAAAGAATCAGCTTCAAGAATCTGATTCAAGAAGATGAATGTCATTGTTTGGAACATTTCATCACTCGTATGTGGGGTTTTTGACTTAAGTTTAGAAAGTAATGTCACAACAAGTAGTTCAAGAAAATATATTTCTCTGTTTTAATAAAGTGAGATAAACGAACTCAGGATCTAAACTGTGTAGTTGCTCTTTCTGTGCATGTAATCCCTGACTTTATTTTGCTTTTCCAGTTGGCAAATACACCTATAAGTAATTAAATACCACACAATTAGACCACTCTTTCAGAAGGGTTCCAGCTGATGTTTTCAAAGTCTTAATCTTGGCACGATGTTCAAAAAATTTTAAACTAATTAATTCTTTCTCATAGAGTTTGGTTTGTTTTTGCACCTGAACATCTTAAGGAAATGATCTGCCATGCCTGTTCTTGTTGAGCAATGCACTATTTTGCAAGTAATCCTGTTAAATTTGGTGGCATCTCTTCCAGGAAAGGAGATGAATCAGTAAGGGAAATAGCGTATTCCACCCACTCTCTGAATGAAACAAACAGCAATTTACCTCAAATCCTTGATACTCTGTTAGAGCTGCTCCCACAATGCCAGATCTGAATGGCTGAATTTTGTTGTCTACGACTGGATTAACATTTTTATCCATTTAATCCTCCCATTCATTTTGGTACCATAATTCTAAATATTCAGCTGATTTAATCCTATCAAAGAATGATTGTCTTCATCATCTTTGTCATGAAAAGCAGGTAAAGAAGCCAGAGAATCCTGGATTTGTGTCTTTTTTAAGGCACCCGTCCATATTTTGATAAAAATAAAAGACAAGTTAAGGACACGATAAACATTTTATTATATGCCACTGCTTGATGCGTTTTAATTTTACTAGTTTGTCAAATTGTGTAAAAACCTAGCTGATCATATCAATTAAATCTCAGGGCCCTTCTTTTTTTCCCCATAAACATTTATTTTACTATTGAAACGAATCATGCCTAGCATTATACAGTTCTCATCAAACTTTTATTTTGATACATCATTGCAACATTAAAGAGGGATTTTTACAGTTCAACTCATTTCAGACAAATCAGAAGCCACTAAATAACTCCTACTGACCAGCAGCTTCTTTGAAAGAGATCTGGATTAACATGATGACTGCTGTGCAGCTCAGGTGAAGATAGAAGATACCTCAAAGGACACAGAAAAAGAACTAACTCAATTTTGTAATAATTAGATTTCCTGCAGTTTTTCTAACCAATCCATCAAAATTGAACTTCACTCACCTCATAAAGCTGCTGCCAATTTATAGCTTGCTCATTTTGGTGGAGCTATATTCATGCACTTGTTACCTGTTTTAGAAAATAAACACTAGCTGTATTTCTTTAACTGTTTTGTATTACATACATGCTACTCATCTGGAAGAAGACAGCAGAGCTATTGACCTTATGGTTTTCACAGTCTAGTCCAAAGTTCTGTCTTCATGGTCCTAGAGATCATGGTAAATGTTCCCAGCAGTGTTTTCACCTGAAGTCTGGATGATAAACCAGTTTGCTGATAGTAAATGTGGAGTGCAAGCCTGCTGGTCACTGTTTGTCAACACTGCTGTGTGTTGAAGTGGTGAACAGCCATTTTATTGTAACTTCAGATTTTGAGACTTTCTGCTTTCCCAACAAGGATGGAGAGAAATGTAAATTTGATTAAAGTGACCCAGATTTTAAAATTAGCATGAGTTGCCCAATCCTTATCCAAGCACTGCATTGCTGCTTGTTTTTTATGAGTTAATAAAGCTTAATGCAAACATGAAATATTTACATCAAATATTCAGAATTCCCTACAGATGGTACCTTTGCTTGATTGAAGAAAGGACGGCTACACAAAGGGAGCACTACCAGACAAATAATTATACATCTTAAGGGAATAAACTGCAAATCCTCTGATGGATTTGTCTTCTCTTGTCTCATATACTGGGTTTAGCTACCATCTCAATTTCATAAATGCCTTTCTTGAGTACTTGGATGTCTATCTGATACAAGACAGTAAAGAAATTATGCCTCCATGGCTTCTTCTGGGAAGTTCTACAATGGATGAAAGCAGGGGCATTTGGTCAGTCATCTGCAAGTAGCTGAAATCTGCACATCCAATTTAGACTGGTAAATAATCTCAATTTAATTTTGTTTTATTTTAGAAAAATCCATTTATTCACATCAGTCCATGAAAAGAGACAAAGAGGTCACTATATTGCTTTACCTAATCCTTATAGTACTCAGAATGATTTTCAGGTGACTTTAAATGTTCTTCCAGCAGAAAATGGAATTTTATACGCAGGCGTTTAAATATCTATGACCTAAAAAAGAAGAAAGCACACTGTGTCATGCAGTGCAAACTTATAGCCACGTGGACCAGTGAGAACAGGGAGAACAGTCCAAAACACTCTCAGCTTTTCCCTCTCATCACCATAAATCTGTACCAGGGCACACAAAATGTTACACTGATTGCTTAATTTCACCTGCAAGCGATGCAAGGAAGGGTTTTAACGCCAGAGAAAGATAGGAAAACAAGTGATCACTCAACAGATGCAATTGGCAGAGCTCTCAAATGCTGCACAGCTGGACGGCACACAAGTGACCTCCCAACAGATCCAATTGGCAAAGCTCTCCAGTGCTGTGCAACTGGACAGCAGAGCCCACAAGCGCTGCGCAGTGGCATTTGTTCAGCCCTGACTCATAGACAGACGAAAGCCACCGGATGAATCACCAGCAGTGCGGTCCGCAACACCTAACGAGGTGGCTCATCCAAATATCAATCAGGTCCCAGCCTCCCCAGCTTCGGAGATCTGACAGACCACATCCTAGGTCGCTGCTTCACCAGTGAAATGGTGAGTTCTGGAAGAAGGGGCCTACAGCGAGCAACCAGGATGGCAGACTTCAGTTGGTGCGCCTTTGGGGTTATCTTCTGTGTGCCATTAAGCCATAAAAGTGCTGTGAGCATAGCTGATATGCAAGAGAAATAGCAACTGATTAACTTAATAACAGAGAACTTTAAGGCAAATTAACAAAAGCGCTTTATGAAGCAGCTCATTCTGCTCAGCCCGCTGCTGCAGAAGGTCATTAAGTCCAACACTGTAGGAAAATCATTTTGATCCACAACGGTTGAAAGGACAGACGTTAAGCAAAAGATAATCACAAATTAGCATTCAGGACATCAGCTGGGCATTGCAGGTGTTGAGAGAAGACACTTCCTCCTTGCAAAAGCAGCTGGAGAAAATGTGTTATATCCCTTTTTCCCTCACAAACAGGACGCTGGAAACGGTGTGTTTGGGCACAAACACCTGACCGGGGGGAGATTCAAGCCCACGACCCCAAACCATGTCCAGGAGCGAGCCCTACCCCTCACCTCTGCCCCACAGCCCCGCCCCCCAGCCACTTGGCCCCGCCCCTCAGTGTCCTCTGGCCCCGCCCCCTCTCTGGCCCCGCCCCTCCGTCCAGGAGCGGCTCTCCGCGCAGGCGCAGTGTGCGGCAGAGCCAACTGCCCCCTCGCGGCCCCTCCCAGCCCTCCACAAAGATGGCGGCCGCGCTCCGGCGGGCGAAGCTGAGGGGAGCGCTGGGGCTGCGGGGCGGAGGCGGCGGTGCCGGCGCCAGCGCCAGCGGCGGGGGCCAGTGACAGGTGCGGGGAGGGGAGGGGTGGGGTGACGCGGCGGCGGGCGAGGCGCAGGTACCTGAGGGGCGGGCAGGGGGTGGGGAACGGCCGGCGGGGCGCCGCCCCTGCCCGAGCTGCGCCATCGGGAACTCCCCCCGCTACCCGCCCTGCAGCCGCTGCCCGCCGCCGGCGGAGCTCGGACCGTTAGCCGGGGGACGGCGGGGCCATGGCGGTGAGTCGGGGCGGGGAGCGCAGACGGGGCGCGGCGGCGGCGCCTCGCGTAACCCCCGGCGGGGAGAGCGGCCGGAGCGTGCCTACTCCGGGAGGGCGGGGGGAAACTTTCCGCCTCTCTCCGGCCTGGGGGGTCCCGCCGCTGGGAGAGGGCAGCTGGGAGGGGCCCGAGCGGCGCTGACAGGCGGCCGGCTCCGGCACCGCGCTGTGCCCCGCTGCGGGGCCGGGGTGCCGCGCCGAGTGCGGGCTGTGCCGCCTTCCCGAAGCGCTGCCCTTACCTCGGCGAGTGCTGCCGGAGCGCCCGCTGGGCTGCCTTCGTGCCTCTCCCTTCTTCCCCGCCTATCGCTCGGGTTTAACGCAAACAGAAACTTTTCGTGGCTTGTAAGCAGCTGGAAAGTGAAACCGACGAAAAGCAAAAACGAAACTTTCCAGCTGATTTTCATTGCGCGGTGCGAAGCAAATAAGCAGAAGGACGGTGGCACGTAGAGAGGGTGGGAGTGAGCGGACCACCTCCCGAAGGGTTGGTAATTTGTTTAACCTATCTGAAGCGATTTACGGCCATCCTGAGTGTCAGGGTGCTTCCAGAACAGCTCGTGCCGTGAAATCATTCTTGGGAAATGCTCTTTGTACCGTTTACTCTGTGTTCGATTGGATGTATAGCTGGCTGTAAATTCCTTAAATCAGCCTGGAGGCTTCAAATCTCAGAGCAGCTTGTCGTTGAGCTTTGGTCTTAGCAGGAGCAGAAGCTGTCCTTTCTGAGCTTCGAGCTTGGTTTGTTGTTATGACAATAGGTAACTTTGTGTTTTGTGCAGCCCAGCTGTACAGAAACGTTGCTGTAGCCATGGTGTGAATCTGCATGCATGGATGTGTGTGTATTCCATGCTCTGAAACAGCGTAAATCACAGCAACTCAGCAGCCCTTCACAATCAGTAAGTGCAATCAATGGCATTTTATCCATAGTCCTAAACAACTGTAAAGTCCAGTCACTCGGTGAGTGTAGAAGTAAAGAGCTTTGATGTGGGGAGAAGGCTGTGTGCATGTGGAAGCTGAAGGTATCTGCAGAGCTCAGTATTGCAGGTGGGGTAGGGGTCCAGGTAGCTGGTGTTCCTACTGAACGCACAGGGCAGTGGGAGGGCACCACCATGCCCTCTGACAGTGTCCCTCAGTGCCACATCTACACATTTATTAAGCACCTGCAGGGTGGCAGCTCCGGCACCTCCCTGGGCAGTCTGGGAAGTTATTTTGACACAAGATCTGAACGTGGGACTTGTTTTGTCAAACTGTGCCTGAGTGGTTTTCTTGCTGACTTCTTCAGAAGGGAGTGGGGGAATTTACATTCTGAATCGCTTACACAAGGACTGTCAGGCACTGGCTTTGGCTGCTGTAACCTCAGTTGAAAGAGCCAGTTCTAATCTCAGAAAGCCTGGGACTCAGCAGTGTGTTCACTTGGTCAGGTTGGGAGCAGTCTGCCTTGGGCAGTCACAGGTTGACTACTCCAGGAGATAACAGTAAATGGAATCAGATGAGTGTCTCAGGGCTTTCAGAACAGGTGGAGACCTTCTGAGGTTTTCTTCTGTTCTATGACACACTGTGTGTGTAAGAGTTACTTGAAGTTCTGGTCATTACGAACAATGCTGAAGCTATCTGATTTCATCTTAGTGGCATTTTGACCTTTTTCAAACTATGAGTTTCCACTGCTTTGTGAATGTTTAGGGGTTTGATTTTTATAGGTAATAATGTAATGGAACTGCAGAACTTTGAATTATGAATCAGACCAATAACTCATCTGATTTGGGCTGTGAGTTCTGTGAATCCTGAGATGCTTTTGTTTGTTATTTTTTGCCCTGTGGCCATTTAATTTAGCTTGAATTTGGATCTACGTCAGTGTTATGATGATGATTGTTCTGGCTCAAGATACCTAACGGAGATCCTTCCTAATTGTTATTGCAACTTTAACTACTTGACTGAACGTGCTACTGCAGCGTTCTGTCATAGCACTTAACTGGGAAGCCAAAGCCTTGAAGCCTGACTGCAGGAAAGGTAGAATTTTTCAGCATGGTCAATACTTTTCCCTAAATGGTTATACCTTCTCAGTGCTTTTATGCATCTCTCTATTTTAACTTGCTGGCAGGTAATTTCTGAAATAGTGTGTGCCAGATATTAGAAAAGACAGCTTTTTATGAAGCTGCAGGCCTGCTTCCTAGACAGTACTGTTGTCTGCAGTCATCGGTGTGCACTGTCCCTGCTTTGTGGAACCTGAGGAATTCCAGTCTGCCCTCCAGCATCCAGCAGCTCTGTACCTTTTTTTTTTTTTTTTTTTTAATCTCCAGCTTCCAATTGTGAAGGGATTTCTAGTTCAATCTCTACTAAAATGTCTACAGGTAACATGTCATGTTTCGTTGGCGTGTTTCTGTGATCTGAAATATGAATTGGATTCTCTTTTACATCTGTCAATAACACCTCTCTATTTTATCATCCATTTCTTTAAGACTGTTGGCTCAGGAAAATTCCCAGGCAATTTGTAGTGAGGTTCTACTTAGCTGCAGTTTATGGTGCCAAGGTGAATTGTGAGAGCCATTGCTTTTCCTATAAGACCAGATGTAGTAAAAATAGATTTGACTTGGATTGTCAGCTCAACTAAAAGATACTGTTGGTAGATGAGGAAAGTGATAATAGCTTGGAATGAGTACTTAACTGCTGCTTCTGTACAGTAAACACAAATGATGTTTACTTTGCTCATGGGGCCAATGTTTCCTGAACTACAGAAATGAGCACTTTTTCCTTCTGTTTTGCCGTATAGATTAAACTTTGAGCTTCCTTAATGCTGGTCTTTGCTTGATGCCTGCATAGAAGCACTATTAACCTTTATCATAAACATGTTTATCAAAACACGTCGTGCTTATGGGCAGTAATGTTTTGGATTGCCATCTAGGGGGTCTTTGTTTTGTAGGCTGATGGGGTAGAAGAATGCTTAGAAAGTGTCTGTAACACTTCGTAGCGCTGCATGTTTCTGGCAGGTTGTCATCTTTAATTGTTCCAGTCAATCTGCATTTAGTTTCAGGTTGGACAAATATTTTTGAAGTCTGCCTCCCACCCCTAAGATCTGGTCCTGTTCCAGCTGTGCTTCCATCATGCAGTCTTGAGCCTGTAACTGATGGAAATGTTTCTGATGAGCTGTCGTAAATGTTTTTGACAAGATGGAAATAGAATTTAACGTGCCATTTTGTCAATAACAAAGTATAATTGTAGCTAGTGTTTTAATATTGGGTGGCTGTCTAGAGGGTTGCGCTGTTACTCTCTGCGGGTGTAGAATGTTTTTCTGTTTGCTGCAGAACCTCAGCAATTGAATATCCTTGTGCTTTCCAAACACTTTGCTAAAACTTTAGTGCCACATTCATTGGCAGCGTCTTCGGAGTGCCTCTCAAACAGAGCCAACCAGACATATTGGGCCTGGTAGTTGTGCTGTTCCACAGCCAACTTTGGCAGTCAAACTCAGCCGTGGTTAACATTGTTACCCTGTCTTTCAGCTTGGTAGCTTGTGTGCCAAACACAACCCCAACAGGAGTTTGACATAATGGTGAAACAGGAGTGCATGGAATGCTCTGACCTTGCTTCCAGCATTGTTCTCAAGTACATAGGACAAAGTAAAAGTTGCAAACCTTCATTCATGAGCAGTGGAAAAATGTCCTACTTTATTACCTGCTTATTTTGTACATAAAGAACTATCAAAATATCTACAAATTTTCCATCCGAGCTTAACCACTAAATCTCATTCTTACAATCTATCAGTAAAAGAGAAGATCAGCACCTTCTACAATGTGGTAAATCTCTTCTGCTTTCTAGAAAAACTAAAGTCCTTCTTCCTAGCAGTACATGAGCTTCTGTAATATAATGGCAAGAGAAGTGCTTCGCAGCTGTGACAGTTCACAAACTGAACTGATGCACTCTGTGACTTTGAGGGGAAAAAAAAAAAGAAACAACACAAGAACAACCAAGAAACAGGAAAACAATCCTACTGATTGATGTCTGGGAAGTACTGTCTGCTGGGAAAGTGACAAGGTCCTAAAGGATTTGTACTGTGACAGCTGTAAATAGCCACATGATTCAGGTAACTGGGAGTGAAAAGAGTATGTGGCACAAGAGTGCTAACTTCACTTTCTGTGTGGCAGTTCTTTCTGAATGTGCTTTGGTTTTTGTACATGTGTTGCGTTTAGAACTGTGACGCTCAGTTCTTAATGCCTTTTGATCTTGAATAACTTGAGGTAAATATGAGCTTCACAAATATTTACATCTACTCTAAAGTAAAAAAAAAAAAAAAAAGCCAACAGTATAGTTTACTGTTATGTAAATACTTCCTTGTAGATGCTATTGAGTTTCCCCGGTGTGCAAATACAATGTCTGTGGTAAACAAAGACTGTACAGTACTTGGTGTAAGATCCTACAAGCACAGGGTATGGCCAAGCTGCTCTTTTTGCCATAGCTAATACCATATCTTACTCCTTTGATCGCATAACAAATGCTTCTTCTCCAACTTGACAGTTTTCAGGCTGCAAGGTTTCATTCTTCAGTGTTTGTTCTTTTGAGTGGAGAAATTTTATCTACTCTGCATTGGCAGAAGGAAACTGAGATGTTAGCAACAAAACCGTTAAGCTTCATTTTGGGGCAGGGAAGTAAATGTAGGGCTGCAGATTTATTACTAATGATGAGCAGAAGTTTGCCTGTAGCTGAAAACTAATCTGTAAGGTAAAAATGGGGTTTCTCTGTAGAAGCATGTGAAGTTCCAATGCAATAATAGGTGACTTGCAGTGTGCTGGCAGTGAAAGAGAGCTGTGGCTGTAACTATTTGCTAATACTTCAGTGTTTCTATTAATGAGCTGTTAGGGGACTTCTTCAGCAAGCTGCAAGAAGGGGCTAGGAAAGGAAGACTGAAAGAAGCTGTGAAATAGTGACTGTTGACAAGTAATCCTAGGTGTGTTGCTCTGGCTTTGCTGGTCTTCCCCTTCTGTATCTGCGGAGACTCCTCTGTTGATGAAGAACTCTGGCATCAATTGCACATTTAACTCTAAGACTTGCCTTCACCTTGAGATGCTGTTGGACTGCTTGCATTGCTATTACAGAAGTGAAGCACCTGCCACATTGGCTGCCTGTGGGCTTTTTTTTTTTTTACTGTTGCATTTACAAGTGCATTGATGCTAGAAGAAATAGTTAATAGTCCGTTTATTCCTGTGCTTGGCAGGCATATGTATGTCTGCATAATGGACCAGGGAACTGATGTAGCTTAACACTGACCAAATTTTGAAGAATATCTTAAAGCTCTGTCTGCCCTCCAGTTTAACTTGCTGTGTTGTTGGCCAGTTCCTCATGGCAGAGCAGGTGGGAGCTGCTACTACTAGCTAGCAATTAAAAGTCTTCCTAACAAATAGATCTGAAAGGTGTGCTTTTAAGACTCAAATATGGGTTTTTTGAGTGTATTCTTTCTTTTGGAAAGTAGTTTTCACGTGCTTGTCTTGTCATGTTCTGTGTTATTACCCTGTTCCTTACAGAAGCAGAGACCTATGTTTTAAATTTGAAGATCTGTAGCCTCATTGATCCTATGTTAGCCTGTGCTTTGGAAACGTAGCTTTCA